GGGAAGAGAAGTGTGACGCTACTGAAGGGCTCTGAGCAGTAGAGCAGCACGATGTGATTTATGTTTTACTAGCATCACTTAGTTGGCCAAAGACGCGCGGGGGCAGCAGCGGGGATACCAGTAGGTGGCTCTCGCAGGGATGCAGGAAAAAGACAACGATGGCTTAGACCCAAGTGGCACAGGCAGGTATAGGGGCTGTGGGAATGGCAGTATAGTATGCCTACGCTTGGGAGAAGGAGAGCAGGCCAAGGAAAGGAAACATGGTCATGGGAAAGCTCAAAAAAGAGATGACGCCCAAGTACAGTTAGGAAAGTTGAACAGGAGTTTATCGCGAGGACAAGAGTGAAGAGAACACAGAGCAATTGGGCCCAGAGCTGTACGGGCGGGAAGCTGTCGATACTTCAGTATGGTGAGACTGTGGGTGTATGGGCCAGTGACGGAGGGCCAGGCCGAAGAGCTCAGCAGGACCAAATCATGGGTAACCTTGGGTGACGTGCAAGGAATTTTGGACTTTATCCTATAGGCTATTGAGGACCACTAAAGGACTTTAAGCAAGAGAGTGACATAACCAGGTTTCTGTTTCAAAGCGATCACTCTGACATCACCACAAATTCAGCGGCAGGGGCGTGAGTACTGACCGGGAGGAAAGTGAGGAGGCCGTTGCATGGTCAAACCAAAAATGGAGCAGGGTGGGGCGAATCTTGGACAATGGAAGCTGGAACATAGAAAAACAGCAGATCCCAAAGACAGTTAACCAGTTAGGCTTTGGAAGTAAAGACAAAGAGAAAAGTGGGTAACTCCCACTTTTTCTAAGTTTCTAGCTTAGACAACTGAATGGAATAATTCCCCAAGACAAGGCAGGTAAGAGGAGAAATAGGTTAGGGGGAGTAGATGATTAATTCTGGGCATGTTGCATGCGAGACATCCAGGTGGACGTGTCAATCATGCGGGAAGAAACCAGGGCCTGAAACTATACAAACTCGGTACTCAGCAGCAAGCTCTGACCACCAACACTGGAGTCGGGATGAGATAGAAGGAGAGTGAAGGGTGAGAGGGTCGAGGACACTATTCGAGGTAACACTAACATTTAAGGGGTGGGTAAAGAGTGGAAAGCCGGCCAAGGAAACCAAGTAGCAGCTGCCTGAGAATGAACCTAACAGGACAACAGGTTTCAGGTTAAAGGACTCTCCGGTGTCTTTGATACAACCTCTAGCTTCCTAAGGGCAGCAGTGAAGAACGTTGTTGCGTGGTGGATCTACTCTACAATCAGGCTGCAGCCAGACAGCAGATGAAGACAGTAACTAAAACTAGACAGTACACAAAGGCCAGGGCTACATTTAGGCTGCTGAGTCAAATCAACGTTAACCGTAGTTATATAACTCAAACTGTATAATAGGAATTGGTTAAGGAATTATACTGAACCGATTAAGTCTGAGAGGGCATTCAGAATGCAGTAACAGAAGTGACTGCTGTGCCGAATACTCTCCTCTGGAGACAGAGAAGAAGAGAACTGCAAAATCTCTACCTCTGTGAAAGCTCCCCTCCCTAAGAAAGCCAACCTCATGTAACTGCCCAGGTTCTGGTGTCAAGGGCTGACTCCTCGCCAGGGGCTGCCAGCTGCAGAGGGCGGGGCTCTATTTTGGGCTGCCCGTCCCCGAGCCTGGCCGAGTCTGGTTTGAGCAGCATGCAGCCCCAGTGACTCACACACCCATGCAAACCGCCTGTGGCTCAGTGGCCTGGCCTCGGAATGCCAGCCTTAGGCCAGCTCCCTCCTCACCCCATTACACTGGGATAAATAAATAAAGAGCCCCGCCAGCAGCCACACAGCCTGATGGCAACCAGATGGAGAGAGAGAGAGGCACGGGCAGGGCCAGGGGAAGGGACTCCCTCCAGTGGACTAGGCTGAGAGTCGGCTGTGCCAGTCCAGTCATTTTAAATTCCCCTTTAACACAGTTCCTACTGCCATGCAATATCGGCCCCCAACTTTTGGACTCATCTTCTACTCCTAAAGGTGACTTTCAGCCCCTGGTCCTAGGAAATGCTCTACATGGGGCTCGTGCCCGCTGTGAGGATCATTCCAGCAGCCACCCCGCCCACCTGACTTGTATCAACATTGCCAGTGTTCCCCTTCCAGCAGGGCCACCGTCCGCTGGCCCCCTTGGGCTCCCTGGAAATGAGAAATCAGGCTCTTCGGGGAGGGTGGGGGGAAGAGCTAAATACGGAGAAGTAACAACCTCTGTCCAATCCTTAAATATTTTTCCTGGCCTTAGCATCCTAGAAGCTTCCCTGTCCTACTGCCCCCTGCCCTATCTCTATGGCCTTTTGCCCAGCAATAGCCTCAATGAGAACCAGAAATAACAGCCCCGGGCACTGACCATATGGCCCTCTGACTGCAGTCCAGGCCCCCCTGTGCCTTCATCCCGAGCTCTCTGTCCCTGGTTTGTTTATCTTCCTATGTTGCTTATTTTGATGGCACATCCTTCCAGCTCAGTCTTGAATGACCCCATGACCCTTCTGTGTCCTGTTTGTAGGACCCCAGGCCAGCAGCATAACTGCAAAGGTGCAGCGGCTATAAGAAATTCTGCAGTCCCGTTTGGAAACCTCTCAATTCTCACAGCGACGCAGGACATTCGACGATCCCAGAGGACGGTGCGGTGATCCCAGAGGTCACAAGAATTGCACATTGTCCTAGCCCTGAACTCTCATCTAATTGGCGTGACAACCAAAGTAGCAAAATGAAATCAGGATAATCCTAGACAAGAAGTATAGGGGGTCCCGAACATACAGCTGTAGCTGTAGGACCTTAGGCAAGTCACTGAACTTCTCAGAGGCCCAGTTTCTTAACCTATGAAATGGAAAGCTACAACCACCTATCTCTCAGATCCTTTGCAGATATCATAAAATTCTACAAGTCTGTGTGGCTTGGATGTGATCCACCCAAAGTCTAAAGGACCGGCGGCATTCTTGAAGAAGTTGGTTCCAAAACACTAAGAGCCTTCCCGGACTAGCCCCTGGATTCTATATGCTTTCACATGCAGTTCTGTGGGGCTCCCCCAGCCCCCGGAGCGTGGGAGAGGTGAGCCTCCAATTTATAAACGAGAAAACAGGGGCTCTAAGAGAAGGGGTTTACCCAAAGCTGTAAAATAAACCAGGAGCATAGTCGAAGAGCCCAAATACAGGTCTAGCAAGCACCACTGTTATCAACAGGCCACGGTTTTCATACAATCCCCCTGGCATGTATTTATCAACATATTCGTCCACACGCTTCTGGAAAACCTGCCAGTTCTAGCCACTGTGTTCAGTGCTGGGGGTATGGAGATGCACTGAGCACAGCCCTTGCCCTCAGGAATCCATACATCGGTGGAGGAGAAAGACAGTCTTGCAGACATACAAGCAGTGATATCACAAAGGGCTAAGTGGTAAAACACAGGAACAAACAAAGGCACCATAGTAGCAAGGATGGAGTATTATCTTTACACGAGTCCTGGAAGGTCTCCTAAAGAAGCTGAGTATAGATGTTTACAAGGTATAAACCCAGAACACTGAGCATTCTAGATAAAGGGGACAATGTGTACAAAGACATCAAGGTTAGAGAAAAAGCATTTTTGGTCATTAGAAGTCAGTCCATATGGCCGAAGCATGAAGTACACAAAGGAAAATGTCAAGAAACCAAGCTGGAGAGAAATGCAGGCCCTCGGTCAGGAAGGGACCCCTCTGCGGAGCTGAGAATAAGCCTTGCGTTGTTTAACGGAGGGGCTGAGGCACCAACTAGTGGGTCATCTCCAGCCTCTGGTAACCTTGTATCCAAACCCGCAGACAGGGGAAGCTGACAGAAAAAGGGCCTAGGAAATCTACGGTTAATGGTCTCTCTTTCCCCATAAAGACTTGAAACCTGTTCCACTTCAGGACTTAACAAATACACGAGTTCCTTCTCGTAGATGGACTGTGCACTCAGCTCGCATTATTTTGCCCTTAGTGTGAAGACCCCAGGCATTCTGGAGTCACTGCCCAGCCGGCACACAAAGGCAGCACAGAAAGTTCCAGCTCGAGAACACCTGCTCTATGCCTCACTCTGTGGAAAGGACTCATTTTAGGTTCAAAAGCAGAGAGAGTCACAGCCCCCTGTCTGTAAGGAGTTGACAAATTAGCCCAGAAGATAGAAACATGAAATAATTTATATATAACATAATATCATCACAGCATTATTTACCTCCATAATAAAGTGCCAATTTGGGGAACACGCACAATTAGGAAATAGGGCAATAATATTAAGGTACTAACTGTACAAACCAACAAGTCCCAGAAGAGTTAGAGAAGGAGAAGATCAATATTGACTGGTATTATCAAAGGTCACTATTAATAATGCTCCCCCTGTTTGGCATCTCACAGTTGTTTCTTTTGGCCACGCTCAGTCCTTAGAAGGGAAACCCAGGCAGGAGCTTCTGACAGGCCACAATTATCTGCTCCCCATTCATCCCTTTGCCAGTCCCCTTGTGTAAACATGGTGATTTTCCACAGCCTGCCGTGCCCACAAGACAGTCCCCAAATGGCAGCCCTGTGCTTTCCCCCTTCCTCCACTGTGGGATGTTGAGGGGCCTGGACAAGTAATAATAACTAGCACCCCCCCACCCCAACGCCCCCCCCCCCCTGACCCCGATCCATAATCCAGACCTGTGATCAGACCTCAACAAGCAAAAAATGGAGCAACTGGGCAACCAAGCTTTCCAAGGTCAGAGAACTCCAAATTAAATACCTAGGTACGTGAACAGAGATGTTTTATGAATTTAATCAGCCCACCTTTGCCCTTTTACGGTCTTTCCCCCAACTGCCCATGTGCATCTCAAGCTTTACCAGACTCTTTATAGGCGACCTTTTCAGAGAAAGAGCTTTCCAACCACGCCAGCAACCCAACACCCGAACTCGAGTCACCCCTCGAGCACCTGGAAGAGAAGGAAGTCCAGCCAGGTTGCACGGGAGAAAGGAAATAACAAATACTCTACCTCTACCATAAACTGTTCCAAGAAAGATGCTTCTTCAAACGGCTCTGTCTTCAGCCGATCTGTAATAAGAAGGGATACAGAAAAGAAATGGGAGTCTCAGGACGAGCTTCTTACCTGCGGGCTAGAAAAGAAACAGAGCCCAAGAGTTCATGGGAAAGAGCACGGAGATGCAACTCCCAGAGGAGCCCGGTCGCCTGGGGGAAGGGCTGAGAGTGCGTGGGCAGCAGGAGGAGGGGAGGGCGATCAGCAACCAGCAACGCGGCACGTGCTCTCGGAGGTTCTCCCAGCACGACGACAAAGGTCAAACTGCATTTTTACTCTGAGGTTGGAGCTCTGCGCCTTCCTGAAGTCCCAAGTTCATGTTGCCCTCGTACAGCTTTGTATAGCGGTTGGCCCCTCTCCAAGTCTCTCTTTGCCATTGACATTGCCGAGGGCATGTCTGAACTCGGTTACAGCCTCTGCCGGCCAGCTGGGCACCAGCCAGGTCCTTGAGGCAGACAGAAGCATCGAGTCTCCATTGGGGTCAGCCCCCAGCACCCACCCTCAGGAAAGCACCCCTCTAATATAAATAAAGTCTCCCCCTTTTCTGAGGCACCCTTGGTTGCCTGTACCGTTCCCCGCACGACATCTCAAAGAATGCCCTCTCACCTCGGCTCAGCGCGGCCCCGCTCTCCTGGTAGTCCTGGATCTCCAGGTCCTTCATGCGAAGCAGCGTGGCCAGCTCCCTCGCTTGGCACTGCAGGGCCAGGCTCATGCCCATCAGGGGACGAATCAAATGCTGGGAGACCTTTCATGGAAGAGAGAGCGATGAGCCAACAGATACTTGTAAAACATTCCCTAACATTGTATCAGTACCTAGACGAATACTGGAGTAAATGTTGTCATAGGGGCTTACTGTTTCATAGGCAGGCAATCCATCTACGTGAAATGCAAATAGACATATCATAATTAAAGAAGCTCACGATTAGAGAAGTTCAAGGATTTTCTCTGGGTCACAGATAAAAAGACGGGAAGAATAAAGAATACTCATGAATAGATACCTAGAGTTGTAAAGAGAAGGATACGATTGGCTTATAAGAGGAAAGTACTATCTCAACTCTCAGCAGAGAATGAGAGGCAGAAGCAGAAGATCCAAGTGACCTTCCAGAAAGTAGGGTGTGGCTACAATAGCACGTGCTAGCTGCAGTGTAACAGGAGACAAAAGTCCACGGAAAGTCAAGAGGTTTTGAAGTCACATTTGACCCACACACACTACGGAAGAGCCATTTCAGTTTGTTTCCACCAGTGCAGCAAAGTCTAAGGTCATTGCCGTAACAGGAGCAAGCCAGTCACGGAGAGGCCAGCCTAGAAGGGAATAAACTACCAACACACACACGCCTTGCCCTTAACAGGAGGTAAGAAGGTCACAAGCATAGCCATCCTGCAACGCAGCTAGGATGCCGTTCTCCTATGATAATGTGCAGCCATACAAAATTACCATTTAATTCACCCATGCAAGGATTCTATTAGCCTTGGAAAGATAAAAGCCTTAGCCAAAGAAAATAACCAAAATCAATACCCTATTTGTGGCTCAGGGATGTGACCAGAGTTTCCTTCCCTTCCCTGAAGGGGATGAGCTGAGGAGGCAGTAAGGAGAAATGCCCTAGACCAGAGGTCAGCAGACTTTTTCTGTGAGGGACAGAGAGTCAATATTTTTGATCCTGTGGCCCATACAGTCCCTGTCGCAATACTCAGCTCTGCTCTGGCAGCATGAGAGCAGCCATAGACAACGTGTAATAAACGAGGGTGGCTGGGTTCCAACAAAACTTGACAAAAATAGGCAGCAAGCCAGGGCTGGCCTGCTGACCGTAGCACACCAACCCCGGCCCCGGCCCCGGCCTGCAACGGAGCATGTTCAGACGAGATGGCCCCCACAGGCTCGAAGTGAGGAGGTGGCACCGGAGTGCCCTATAAGATGGGCAGGCCAGACTCATCGCAATCAGGATCTGCAGTCTGAGCTCTACAGACTTTCGTGTTTTTGTTTTCTGCTAATTTTCTAGTAAAACTTACTACTAAAAAATTCCCATTGGATTGTGGCTCACACTGAGAGGAAACGACTTTTTTCCACATCTCTCTAATGGCAGTGGGGAGGTGAGGGGTTCGTGGCAGTGCCGTTTGTACCAGCACTGGGGCCTGAGAACAGCACCGGGGTCACTGCACAAAGCGGAAGGCCAGAAATCCAGTCCAGCTCTGGACACCGGCCCCTTTCCATCTCACAGCACACCCCAGCCTGGCACTGTCTGCCAGCTCAGGCCTTAGTACAGACTTGAGTGTCCAGGAAGTACTATTCGGTATGTGGCAGAAGTCCTGCACTGGGGAAATTCATCTGCTCTAGATCCAGCCCTGGGTCCTAGGAATCGTCTGTGGCAATGCTGGCCCTGGTCAAGGTAAATCGGGAAGAAAAACAGGTGAGGACTTGCATGAAAGCACGTCGACGTCTGGTGGGTTGAATGAGAGTAAGCGTGCCAGGTGAGCAAGCAGCACCACCATCTGCTGGGGACAGCCCTCAAGCAACAGAAACTCCTCAAGCCAAGTAACCAGCCTCTCTCTAAGAGGCCACCTTAATAGCAATGTCTTTGAGTGGTAGTAAATGTAGCAACATGAAACTTGATGGGAAATAGTCTTTAATCAATGCTGTGTCTACATAAACACTGTGATGCTACACCAGGCACCTGAAATTATCTGTCGGACTCCAGGGTCCCCATAGCAAAAAAAAAAAAGATTTTATCAGTAAATATTTTAACTTCTAAAATATTTCACAGGATTGGGTTACATCACTCTGAATCACTAACTCACTTCAAAGTTAGACGAACGCTAACTTAGATCAGTTAATTAGAACAAGGCATTGCGGCTGAAGGAACACATTTCAAAGCAAATCCACAGACACTACAAGGGAAAATCTTGAAATGCTTTTGGAGGGTACGGACACACCTACCCGCCCCCTTCACTTACAGACAGCGGCATATGAAGAGATGCAGTGCAACGAGTCAATTCAACAAATACCTACGGTATGCCTAATGCATGCTCTGACCTTCCGAGGCCTATGCCCTCAAAGAACTCAAGAGTTAAGGAGGCCAGGAAGTGTGGTGGATACAGAAGCAGGAGTTGGCAATCTTCTCCAACGGAAAAGCTATTTATAATTTCCCACCATGTCTGCAGATTTCTCATAGGAATGTTCACAAGTCATAGGCAGGAGAGCAGAATGGCAGTTATCGATCTCAAGATGAATCCAATCAGGTCTAGATAGAGGGGAAAAGGGTAATAGACTGGGAATTCAGAGACCTAATTCTCGTTCTGGCTCCGAAAGTACCTAGATGTAAAACTGGCTTAATCCCAAGCATTCTCATGGTCCCAATCTTTTCTACAAAGAAAAAGGATGAAGTTGCAGCACTGGCCCTCACAGGTCCACTATCATGCTAGGAGTAAGAAATATTACACACGCCCTTTCATCTAACCCTCATAACTCCATAGTAAGGTTGTGACTGGTATTTCTGCTTTACAGATAAAGAAATCAGGTCTCATACAAATTCAGTAGCTTATCCCTGGTAATACAAATAGTCCAAGTGGCAAAGCTGAGCTATAAATTCAGGCCTGCTAGCTCCAAAGCCTGTGCTCTTTGCTCTTTCTTAAAAACAAATGAACAAAAAAACCCTTTGCATGCGAGTCCTAGGAATTACAAATTGGCCAAAGAGGTGAGAAATTTGAAAGTCAAACTATGGAATATTTCATGAGACCAGGATGGCGGCGAGAGCCCCGTGGGTGCCCATTTTAAAGCTGGGCTCACGGGCACAGGCGCCGGCTCCACGCTCGTCGCGATGAACCAGATGAACTGGCCTGGCTGCCACGGGGTCACGCCCTGCAGGCTGAACGAAAGGATACCACGTTTGGATTTGTCATGTGTGTGGACAACAGTGTAGAGAAGCTAAAACTGACACATTTTTATGTAAAGTTTTCCTATCCTTTAATTTTTAATAAACTTTGGAAACCCAAAAGATAAAAAGAATTACATCAGAAAAAATGGGTAAACAACAACCAAAAGGACTCCATTCGGTACTGGACAGAATACACAGTGGAGAGGAAAAGAAGAAAAGAGAACTTGGCCAGAAGTGGAAATGGGCTCGGTGTTGGAAAGCAGAGACCCGAAGCTTTATATAGTCCATAATGTCTTACAGAGACTGAAGAACTATTCAGATATGCTGTAGAGGGTGTAGGGAAATAGGTTCTCTCCTACTCTCCTGTGTGACTAGTAGGAGTTAACCTGTGTAATCTCTCTGGAAGACAACCTGGCATTATGTTAGCAATGTTAAAGATGCAACTAATTCCTCATTCAGCTATTCCATTTCTAGTAATTTAACCACACAGTTACACATGGAAAAGTAAATGCAAGGATATTCACTACATATAACAGCAAAAGAATGGGAACAACTTAGCTGTCTACCAGCAGCATATTGATCAAATACGTGTTGATATCTTCATTAAATAAAACACTATGATGTCATTAAAAATATTGAGGCAGGTCTTCTAAACGTATTGGGATGAATGATTTCTAAGTTCTAGAAGTAAGTGAACAAAGCAAGGTAATGAACAGTGCGAATAGTGTGCTGCCATTTGTGAAAACACACACATACACCCAGATAATATTTGACTGTGTGAGTACGCACAAACATACATATATATATGTACCTAGATATAGCTTACTTTAAGAACTCACAAGAGGTTGATATCAGTCGTTGCTTTAGAGAAGGAAAATGAGGGACTGGCAAAGGGAGTAGAAAGACCTATTTTTTCACTGCCTACTCTTAAATATTTGAACTGTTTGTCTTTTGCATGAACTACTCATTCAAAACAATTAAATAAAAACTATCACAAGAATGAGTAACACACACAAATTATGACTATGTGACCTCACAGACATACGCATAAGCTTGAAATAGTGCCTGGCTACACCCTCACCAGCGTCCACGGGCTCGAACTTTTTCCCTATAAAGCTTCCTCGGGTCCAGGGATTTTCCTGGGATGGCATTCTTCTTGTAAGAATGATGATTCTGTTTTACATGAAAGTACAATCACTATCAATTGTTCAGCGTTCACTCCCTCCCACAGCCAACAGAGACTCACTCCACTCTGAACGCCGCTGCCCAGTTACAGGGACGTGTCTAGAATAGTGTTCTGTATTTGTTCTCTTTTTAAATTTTCTTTTTTTTAATTGATGTTCAGTTACCGTTGTCCCACATTTCCCCCCCACTGCTCTCCCCTTCCCTGCCCCCCAGTTTTTTCTTTACATATTATTTTCAATTATAATATCATTATTCTTTTGAAAGAAAAGAAAAAAACTATTAGAGCACATCAGCCTCCACGGGGAACTGCCCTCCTAATGTCACTTCTAAGTTTCTTTTTGTTTTTTCCCTAAATTTCTAGGGCGCTGTGATGCAAAAGGAGACTAGCCATCATTTATTTGCACTTCCCAAAGTGACCCAAATGTTTTGGTCTCAGAACCAGCATTCTTGAGGGAACAGTGCCCCCTGGTGTCACTTGGAGAGAGTTACAGGGGTTTTGAACAAAATAGGTAAATTCTGTATGTAAAGCAGGACGGAAAATTTCACAAGAAATTCAATTGAAATCGACAAATATGAGTGACTATTATCTGCTAAACACTGTTTATGGGCCTGAGGAATTGAGAGTTAAATGAAATGTAGTCCTCCAAGCACTCAAGTCTAGCTCTACCGGGTTCCAGATGAAGAAGAAACACCAGAGAACAGTTTCTCAAAAGGCACTTTGTCCCTTCCACTCTGTCGAAGCCAGAGCACCACATCACCCCTGGGAGACTAAAGAAGGGAGATAGGAAATGACGCCCACTCGTCAGATCCCTTTGCTGAGCAACCTAACCCTCAGGCCTTGCACAGAAGACCCCCTCCTCTAATGCAACTGAAATAAGCTATTATTACAGAAGTGCAGAAGAGACCAGCAGCAGTAATGCCTACACACTAATTCTTAATGTCCACTCTCAACTAACAAATTTATTTTTTTTTTTAGTTTTTATGTATTTATTCTTACAGAGAAGGGAAGAGAGGAAGAAAGAGAGGACGGAAACATTGATGTGTGAAGGAAACATCTATCGGCCGCCTCTCCCCCACCCCTACCCAGGGATCTGGCCCGCAACCCAGGCACGTGCCCTGACCGGGAATCCAACCAGTGACCTTTTGATGTGTGGGACGACACCCAACCCACTGAGCCACACAAGTCAGGGCTCAACTAACAGATTTCTAAAAAAGCTGTTGGGGCCTAGAAAGCTACAAGTGAGCAAAGGACAGTGTTCCCCTAGTCCCTGAAGATGGGCTCTCAGGTCGGACCCATCTGCAAGTCAGATTCCAGCCCATTCATGTATAAGCTGGAGGACTTTGGGCAAATTACATTCAATGTCAGTTTTCTACTCTGAAAAGCAGGGAATGTAACACTTATCTTGCAGGACAATTGTGAGACTTAAATGATGAAATACTGTTCAGAAAGAGACCTAACCCTGGTACATACTCTACCCTGTTGCCAGAGTGATACCGATCAAGTACAAATTGAACCATGTTAAGCCCCAGCTTAAAGGTTTTCAATGAACCCCTGTTGCCCTTGGGATAAAATCCAAACTCACTAGAACCCTTCACGATCTGGCCACTGCCTACCTTATTGCTCTCAATTCCCTGCAGTCACAAAGTCCCCCACCCTTGCCCCACACTAAAACACCTCCAAGCCTCTCAAAATGCACTCTGGCCTAGAATGACTTCTTTATTTTCCCCCAGTTAGTTCCTGCTCATCTTCAAAACTCAGCTCAGAAACCCTCTCTTCAAGATTTGCTGGATCCTAAATCACCCTGGGCTTGCCTCAACCAAAGAACTTACCATCCTCTACCCTGCCGCCTGCCTGTGTCCTCACTGGATTACAAACTCCAGGAACAGGCCACGGTGTCTTAGATCTGGACACCCAACAACTGGCCCACAGTAGATGCTTAATAAATGCTGAATAGAGTGATGAATAAAGGCACCCAGTAGAGTATGCAGACTCAAACTCTGCTCCCTTTGCAAGGAAAGGATGGATCAGTCAAGAATCCTCTTTGCCTTCTGTCTAGACAAGGAGAGTTTTCTAATTAGAGAATTTCAAATGTAGTTTCAAAAAATAAGAGCACCTAAAGCTTCTTTTCAAAGCTGCTAGCAGCCCCCTTCCCTACCCCAGAGTTGAATTTTCCTTACCAGGGAAGGGCTAGCTGGGATGCAGTGGAAATTCCAGCAGAAGGGGAGACCGGAGAGCTCACTCCGCACCCGCAGTATCAGTGCCTCTGCCACGTGATCACAGGAGAAGGTAGCTTTTCCAGGGCAATCCATGTCCCTCAACAGTGGGCGAAGCAGATCATCCAAATGACTGAGGAAAGCCTCAGGGGGGGCAGTCAGGCGCTTGTTCAGCTCCTGAAGAGACAGCAGGGGTTGTACAGAGTGAGGGTCCTGAAAGGAAACTGACTCCTCCATAAATAACAACAAAGGAAAACTTGAGTTAACATGAAGCCACTGGGCGTGAGAAAAGAGATCAACTGGCCTACTTCACAATTCTGCCTTGCACTGTATGCAGTGTGTGCGTGCACACACACACACACACACACACACACACTAGTGGAAAGAGCCCAAGGCTATAGGTAAAAGTGCAGGACATTAACTGGCATTGTCTCAACCTGATTCAACCTTCCTTGCAACTGACCGGCCAGCAAGCTGGTTGGTGTTAATGTCCCCTGACCTTCACCGGGAAAGAAATTACAGCCATGACCACAACACAGCATTACTTCTCTTTGCACATACCTTGGCTCGCTGGCTGACCACACTGGCATCCACCTGCTCGTGCCACACCTCTTGAAGATCTGAAACCAGCAAGGCATAGCCCTGCTTAGTAATATAAGCTTTAGCCAGGAGGGAGTTCTCAGCAAGCTGTAGCCGCGCCCATGGCTGCATCAACAGGCCTTGCTCCAGTTCCTCCATGCACAAGAGAGTCTGAATTTAGCAAAGTGTCCAAGGGCACTACAGGCCTGTGGGGCGGGGGAAGAGACCATCAGACAGTTGAATAAGTCTAATGAAATTCCTCCCTGCTAAAACAGGAAGCATGGATTTACACTCTACCCCATTCAGTCCCCCCAAGTATACACCCAACTGAACACCCATCTTAGTACCTCTTGGCCCCTAGAAATCTGTTTAAAATTTTGAGGGATTTTTTTTTCCATATTAAGTTCCTAGGGGGGCATAAAATATCTCTTTCTCCTATAGCGTTTAAGCCTCAGCATATTGGTGTTAGTATCTTTACTTTCTAATAATATAACTTAATTTGGAAACCATTCTTGTTGCATATTTATCACATTCCTAAGAAATATGTCAGTGCTGTCCTTTCCCAGAACTTCTGGAAGAGAAGTGGTTCTTGTCTTATAAAACATCATAAATCATAAGTTTCATCAGAGGAAATTCAAGTTATTTGATCATTATCTAAAACCAAAACTCTGGAAGGTCTCAGAATTTCAAATATATGTGCATATTCCCTAAACACATATATATATTCCATAAGTATATATAATATAATGGCAAATATAACATAAAGATAATAAATAAAAAATTAATAATAAATATAAAACAATGTAGAATATATTCCCTAAGGCAGATTTTTTTTTAGAGAAAGGAGAAGGGAGGCAGAAAGAGAGGGAGAGCCACACCGATGTGAGAGAGAAACAGCATTGCCTCTTGTGCACGCCCACAACCCCGGCATGTGCCCTGACCAGGAACTGAACTGGCGACCTTTTGCTCTGAGGAATGATACCCAACCAACTGAGCCACACCAGTCCGGGCTCTGAGACAGATTCTGAATCTAGAGTGTATGTATGTGAACCCTCTGGAACTACATGCAAAATCTGTGTGCACATGCCTATCCTCGTTTGGGGAGAAGTCTGCAGCTACTGCCAGTTCTCAAAGGGATCCATGACACACAGGTAGAGAGCTCACAAACACGGTGTGCAGGGCAAACAGGAAAGCCCAAATCCCATCTCAAGAAGGACCTGCGAGACTAAGAACTCCTGCACACGACGAGGCAGAGTACGTCACGGAGGTGGAGATGACGAACTAACGGCCACTGCACTCGTCCCGCACATCCCCACCCAAAGGCGCTGCCCCCACCAGTGATTCCTGCTGCTGCGCATCCTGGAACTACTGGAAACTAACTTTTCCACTTCAACAACTCGATTTGCAGTCTTAGCCTAGTAGACGTTCAGTAACTACGGCTACTTGACAAGAAATTTTATTTTCCTGTGGATTTAAGAAAAGGGGGGAGGTGTTACAATTTCCTTCATTACTTCAGTATATAAAAACAAAGTGAAGTGGAGGGTCATCTCAGAATATAAAGAAAATTCCTTGGACTTCATTCACAAAGTTAACAAGGTTTGCTCCTCCAGTCACTTCCATCTCAGTCTAAGCCATTAGTCTTCCAACCGTCATCTCGTTTTTGAAGCGTGGCCTTGTAACAGAACTTAATTCGTGTAGTCAGCAGACAGGTGAACTGTATATACACATTGCGACTTTTATTTGCAGCAGACTCAAAACCATATGTTTAGAGAATGGCACATCAATCACCTTTCCTACCATGCTCTTTCTATCAGAAGAGATCTTGGAATGGATGGGCTACTCCTCACTGCACCAGCGGTCCACATTGCCAAAGGTCACAAACGCAGGCGAAGTCGCCAAGCCCCTCTCTCCCTACAGGCGCTACCTAGCGTGCATTCTGATCACCAAAATCAGGTTGATCATCCTAACCAGTCACTTCAGAAAGCCCTAACTCAAGACTGCATGGATGTGTACGTTGGAGGGAGGGGGCGGCCGTATTGGGTGCGGGGTAGGAGTGTAAAGTGTAGGTAGGGTTAATGGGTCACATAAAAAGGCCTGAAATATCCAGCGTGAGGCCTGGGGTCGGCTGCCCACCACACACGTCCTGTTCTGAATCTCAGGCCTCTCCATCCACCTTTTTCTTTTTTCCTTCGAGTGTCTTTAACCTCCACATTTACTATTTTTTTAGTAAATTATTTTTTTAAGATTTTATTTATATATTTTTTAGAGAGGGGAAGGGAGAGAGGGAAACATCAATGAGTTGTTGCCTCTCACGCGCCCCCTACTGGGGACCTGGCCCATAACCCAGGCATGTGCAACCGGCGGATCCACACCAGCCGGGGCCCTTTATTATTCTTGAATGAAGCTGGGGTGCGCTGAGGGCCGACAGCGAGGTGGGGTCATCTGAGAGCCCGGCTGTGCACTAAGCCTCGCTGCCCAGCCGCCAGGCGCTCTCTCCACACGCAGTTCCTCCGCCATCCAGCAGAGTGGCAGCAAGGCCCCAGCCACCCTCCCGGCTGGACCACGCCTTGTCCTTCTGGGAGGATCGAGCCCTACCTTTACCACAGCCCCACCCCAAGAGCCCCGCCTGGCGTCCCGTTTCCATTCACCCTCCCTAGAAGAGCCTTCGCGGCCCGCCTTTCCATTTCTACAGCACCCGCTGCAGAGGCTCAGCTCAAGACTCCTCAGCGGGTAAGAAAGCGGACAACCCTGCGGGGTAGAACCACACAGCCCGCGAAGGAGCAGCCTCACAGACCCCGCCTCGCTGCCGGAGGCGGGCCTTGCGTGCGCGGCTCCCAAGGCCCCGCCCACTCCCCCGAGTTCAGACCCTGACCGTGGGCCGCGCGTGGATCTCTCCTGGACAAAGCGCCTGTGGCCGCGCCAGCACGCAGCGCTGGAGCAGCCCCTCGCCGCCCGGCCCCAGCTCCCGCCCCGATTGGAGCCCAACCCCCACCTACCGTGAGCGGTGCGACAGTTCCCACACTCCCCGCAGCAGGCCTGCGGGCCCCGTACAAGCCGAAAAGCCTAGAGTAGAAGCCTTGTGCTCAGCACAACGGGGAGGCGGGGCCTTGGGACACAGGGGCGGAGCCAGGGTCTGACTTGGGCGGGACACCTGAGCCCCTTGAGCTGATTAAAGGAGCGCTCGGAGCTGCAGGCCCACGTTCGTCATAACTGCTAGATAGGCAGGGTGACCCGCTGGTAGAGGGGTGGAGGGGTAGCGGGAATGGCCGAGTGGGAAGAATGCAGGATGAGGTGCAGGAGAGGGGATCCCTGTATTTGGACTTGTCAATAAGAGCCACCTCCCCTCCATCCCCTACCTGTCCAACCTCTGATATACAAAGGGAGAGGGCTGAGCTTCACTAGATTCTCTCTGTCCTCTCCAACTCTTTAGGCGATGTGTCTCCCAAGCAGAAATCCCACCGTCTCTCATCCTTGACCTCCTCGCTTGTCTCATCTCTCCCTCCATCCATTCCCAGAATTACGCTTCATCACCCTCGTCAAGCGATGTGTCTCCCAAGCTTGAAATCCCTCATGTTGTACTTTGTACTCTTGAGCTGGATGAGCCTGGAAAATTTTCCCCGTGCACTTTCCGCAACCAAAAATCGTCCTCTTGCTAAAGCCAGCCACAGTGCTGCTTCTTTCAGAAAGCCTTTCCCACTGTCCCCAGTCAGAACTAATTGTTTCTTTCTCCTTGCTCCCAAAGCAGTATTCTAGTCTTTATTACAGACTGCCTTCTGCTCTGAGTTTTAGTTAGTAATTACGAGAGTCTGTTTAAACCAAAGTGTCCCGAGAGGGCAGGGCCCCTGTCTTATCCGACCTGTAGTTCCAGGACCTTGCGCATGGGAAGAGCTCAATAAATAAATATTTATTTATGTATGTATGTATTTATTTATTTTTAAAGATTTTTATTTATTTATTTTTAGAGAAGGAAGGGAGGGAGAAAGAGAGAGAGAAACATCAATGTGCAGTTGCTGGGGGCCGTGGCCTGCAACCCAGGCATGTGCCCAGATTGGGAATCGAACCTGTGACACTTTGGTTCGCAGCCTGCGCTCAATCCACTGAGCTACGCCAGCCAGGTAAATATTTATTTTTTAAATATTTTATTTATTTTCAAAGAAAAGGGAAGGGAGGGAGAAAGAGAGGGAGAGAAACACCAATGCTCGAGAGACACATCAGTTGGTTGCCTCTCCCACACCTCCAACCAAGGACCTGGCTTGCAACCCAGGCATGTGCCCTAACTGGGACTCAAACCAGTGATCTTTTGGTTCACAGGCCAATGCTCAATTCACTGAGCCACACCAGCCAGCACTTAATAAATATTTAAGTGAATGCTGGAGTTCAAGTATAGTTAGCTCACAAGCAAAATCTCTTTTAATCATTCACGGCCCCTGTTCTGGAAGTTAGTCCTAATTAAGAAAAGGAACACTTATTGGGAAACAAAACCTCATGTGGGCCCATTCCTTTCTCTCTTTCTCTCTTTCTTTCTCTCTCTCTCTCTCAGAAAGTAGAGCCCGGGAGCCAACCATTCAGCAAGCTCAAAGATAGGGCTAATCTAAGCGTAGCAGAAGTATGAGTCATGGAGTTAGTAAGACCAAAGTTCTCTGCTAGACCTGGGGCACTGCTCCCCAAAGCCAGGCAACAAGTCAGCCGTCTCTCCTGGCTCAGCCGGCCCTCTTTCTTCATTCCCGGGGTCTTCAGGCAGTGGGCAGAGGCAACGGAGAGGCTGGGGGATGCAGGGACACAAATTTTGGAGGGGCACAGGAAGCTCATACAGTTGAGTGGCCTTCTGCTTGGACTTCTGAGGCATCTGAACCTCTTGGGTAGCAAGAGAGGATGGCAGCCCTGGACCTAGGCCTCGCTCAAGCCGTGTGCCTGCAAAACAGAGGCTGGTCAGGACGTTGCCCAACCCAGGGAGTGATGACTTCCCGGCCACTCCCGAGTCTGCAAGGGCCTGTCCATAACTTACCAGGAATAGTGTTCTCTAGGAGGAAGCCCAAGAATCCCGCCAGGAAGATGGGCTCTATGAGCAGTGAGTGAAGTAGCACATCCACAGGGCTCCAGCCTACAGGAAGTTAGGACCAGTCAGGAGGGGAACCCTGATCTTACTTATTGCGAGGCCAAGGAGTCTTATACTTCCAGACCTAATTCTAAGTCTTGGACTAAGAGCAGATCTTTCTGAATCATCATTCTATCCCCTTTGTCCTTTGTCTCTCTGCTCCATTTCCCAGGCCCAGGCCCTTCCCATAGGATCTGTGCTCAACACCCTATCCTCTGAGCATCCACAAGCTCTCCAGATATGTTCCCTGTCTCTGGAAAGTCCTGTATTAAAAACCCCCAACCTTATTTCCCACTTACCTTCTGTGCTCCAGCCTGGGTTTCTCAACTCCAATACTACTAATAATTTACACCAGATAATTCTTTGGGCGGGGTGGGGCGGGTTGGGGGGAGCGGCTGTCCTGTGCATTGTAGTATATTTAGCAGCATCCCTCTACCAACTACATGTCAGTAACAATCCTTTCTCCCCTGTTTGTAACAGCCAAAGATGTCCCCAGACATTGCCAAAATCATCCTCAGTTGAGAAACACTGTCACTTGCTAAGCTGAGCTAACAAACAAAGCTATTTGAATGACCTTTTTGCCAAATGCATTTAAATCTTACCATCCTTCGAGACCAGCTCAAGGTTACTTCCGGCATAAAACTTACCTGGATCATCTCAAACTGCAAGCCAGCTGTCTCTCTCACCACTGAGCAGCACAGCTCTCTACCTGAGCCTATCCTGCTATGTGCCTACACTTCCACTTTCTTTTACTAGACTAACACCTGGAGGTACCTTCGGATCCCAAGGGACTTGCATGGTGCTCAACAAATACTGGCCAACCAAATTGATGAACTGCTTACACCAAACCCCAGAGAAGGGTGTGGGTCCTGTAGTGCAGAGAGCCCAAAGCCTCCAGCCCATGCTTTAATGACACTGAACAGCTCTTCTTCCCGCCTCCTCCTCCCACCTGTGCTCATCAGGACAGGAGCTTCCCGAAGCCACCTTGGCAGCAGCAGGGCCATGAAGATGGAGAAGCCAACAATGAAAACATTCCGCCCAGAGTCGATGTCGGCCAGGTGGAAGCTGGAGAATCCAGTAGCCAGAACCACGGCCTGGGTCACGCCCAGCACCCCACCTGTCTCATGGGAAAGTAATCCAAGGGGTTGAGACAGAGCTGGCACAGCAGGGAGTGTTGCAGGGCGGGGCAGGTTGGGATGGGGAGAGATGACCAAAAGCCTCATTTCTAATTCCGCCAGAAGCCCAGAAGCCCCGTCAAGAGCTTCCATTGGGCTGAGAAAATAAAGGCTGCTGACATACATATCCATGTATGGGGCGGGGGGAGCTATTCAGAAAGAAAGGGTGCTGGCCACAAGCAACCAGTGGGCCACGCTGGGGTTACTGGGTCAATGCCAATGCTGCTGGAACACCCACTCACCAAGAACAGGCAACGGGATGGTGGTGAGGAGCTGGGTCAGCTTTGGGGAGAGCCCAAGCCCCACGCAGAACAGCCCCACCAAATGGGCCACTCGCTGAGATCCAGCCTACGTGGAGAAGAGACACTAGAAAACAGCCATCTCCTTGACTGTTCAAGGTGTTTGCCTGGTGGCCCCTTCTCACCATCTGGATCCCGACTCAAACATTGCCCTTCCAAGAGGCATCGCCAAGCTCTCTACCTAAAGGGGCCACGATCCCACTAAGTCCCCTGCTTTGTTTTCTTAATAGTGCTTTTATCACTTGGGAAATTACCTTACTTATGGGTTGGGTTTTTTGTTTTTGTTTTTTTTGGTCTGCCTTTCCCTCTCTGAAGTTCCCCAGAAAGCAGAACTTTCTCTGACTCATTCTTCACAGGAATCCCAGCCCTGGTACAGGGCCTGAGGCACGGAAGGAGTTCAATATTGATTGGGTGTCTTCCTTACACCCCTCACCCCTTACTTCTAGGCACCTCCCTAAATGAGATCTAGAATGTGACCTTCCTAACAGAGTATTGCCTGCAGTTGTCCATCAGTCAGTGCGAGTTCCCTCCCCTCTCCTGCACCCCCAGCACCCCTATTCCCAGTCCTGTCCACATACCTGGGTAAGACTCACTGTGGCCACGTTGGGGAAGCTGGATGCAGCACCCATGGGGCTCCCCAACAGCCCAGCCAGCACACTTCCCAGGCCCTCCAGGCTCAGCCCCCGACTGCAGGCGTGTGGAGGTGGAGAAGGCAAACGCAGCAGCCGGCCACACAGGGCATAGCAGCCCAAGGAGCTGATGGAGGCTGCCAAGGCCATGGAGACGCCTGCAGCCAGAGCCCGGGGCGTCAGCAAGGGCCAGACCCACTCCCCTGAAGAGAGAGGAAGAGTTACTTTGGAGTGACACTCAGGTTTGGAGCATGTCCCTGCCTCCAGAGTCCTGTGCTGCAAGAATCCTAGAGGCCCTATTGCCCTTGAAGATGTCTTGAGACAAAACCATCAAACTCAGGATAAAGACCATCCCTTCACCATGGTCTACAAGGCCCCTCTTGGTCTGATCCTTACTTCGGTCCCTCTAACCACGTCTCCCCCCATACTCTGCCTTACTCCCTTCACTCCGAGATACACCTGTTTAAGGCCCTTATGTTTGCTGTGCTGCTGGGTACCACAGGGCTTGTACTATGCTGTTCTCTCCACCTAGAGTGCTCCTTAACTTCACCAGTTAACTTCTACTCATTTCTCACATCTCAGCTCGAAGATCACTTCCTCAAGAAAACCATTCCCGCCCTGACTGGTGTGGCTCGGTGTTTTGGGTGTCATACAGCAGATCGAAAGTTTGCTGGTTTGATTCTGGTCGGGGCACATGCCTGGACTGTAGGCCAGGTCCCTGGTTAGGGGCATGCAAGAGACAACCAATCAATGTTCCTCTTGCATATTGCTGTTTTTCTCCCTCTCCTTCCTCCTTTCCCTTCCCTTTAGTTATTCTAAAAATAAATAAATAAAATCTTCAAACACTAAAAAAACCTTTCCTGACCTCTCTGATAAAGTCAGACTCCCCATTATAAGCTCTCATCACACAATGTACCTCCCCTTTGTTATACTTACCACATGCAATTTTGCATTTACTTGGGTGCCTATTTAATTAGGACCCATATTGCCCAACAGATTATGAGTTTCATGAACACAGGTGCTACACTTTTCATGTTTGTCACTGTCCCCTATCAAGTACCTAGCACTTAATCGACAGACCTTGATTAAATTGATGAATGAGCAAATGTCAGATATAATGCTTGAAAAGTAATTTTTTAAAGAATTTATTTATTTATTTTTAGAGAGAGAGGAAGGGAGGGAGAAAGAGAGGGTGAGACGTGTCAATGTATGGTTGCCACTCACGCACCCCCTACTGGGGTCCTGGCCTACAACCCAGGCATGTGGCCTGACTAGGAATCGAACCGGTGACCCCTCTGATTTTCAGGCCAGCACTCGACCACTAAGCTACACCAGCCAGGGCTCAAAAGCAATTTTTTTTATACGCAGCTCACTAACTCGAATGCCTGAGGGGTACATGTCATAAATGTAATGCACAAATTGGGTAAGGAGTATCAGCAGGGACTGGTAGGGTTCGCAGAGCTCTCTAACACTAAATAAAACATCTGTGGCGAGGGGCTGGCATTGCACCTGAGAACAGCAAGCTACCTCCCCTGTGTGTTTTGAGAAAACATAAGATTTAACTCAGAAATACAATTCATTAAATCTTGAGCTGAATGAAACACACACCTTTATTTCAGTACAGGGATGGAAGGCTAGGAGCAAACATACCTGGGTGAGGCAGCCAAAACCACAGTGCCTCACTGGGGGCAGACAGCTCCAGGGGGATGATGCCAAGACCCAGCAGGGCAGAGATGACCCACACACAGGCCACTGGGACCAGCACCTGAAGGGCAAGGAGGAGATGGAAAAGAACCCCTCCCCCAGATTCTTGCAGGCCAGCCTTAGTGGAGTAACAGATAGGGCAGGGAGTCGAGCAAGTGTTCCATGCCAGACCTTCTAACCTTGACAGCCCCTCCCAGATCCCCACATACCGAGAAGAGCCGGAAGGCAGGCATGCAAGTACGCGTTGAAGAGGTTGAAGCTGGCCTCCAGGGGCATGGGGGTAACTGGCAGGAGCCCAGGTGCTGAGAACAGACCACCATGAGGGAAATAAGCCTAGGACAGAGAAGGAGATTGAGAAGCAAGAGGAAGTAAGCATCCTGAGGCAGGTAATGGAGGCAGAAGAGGCAGAACACCATGAAGGAGGTCCCCGAGAAGAAAGCCCCTGGGACAGGGAGAGAGGGTACCTTGGGGGTCAGCAGGAGACAATGGGAAAGCCAGAGAGACCACCTGAATCCAACAAAAGCCCTGGATGCCAAACCCCCCAAAATGCCTGCTCAGACAGCTGCTCGGTCTGGTAGCGTCAGCAGCTCTGCCCTCCCCAGTCCTGCACACCCCGCTGGTCAGCACCCCATGCCTGTCAGGACTTACGTACAGCAAGGCCAGCCCCCAATGACTGGAGCAGAACAAGGCCACCTCCCTGTGAGCAGACAGCCCTGCCACAACCAGGCTGGGGGCCAACACCAGGGGTCCACAGTGGCGGAACAAGTGGCCAGGAGCCCCCAACAGTCCCAGAGTGCCCTGCAGCAGCCCGGACACCACCACTGCCCCAGACACCTAATGGGGTAGAGAAGAAGGCGAAGAGAAAACATTTGGCTCAACTGAGCTGACCTCAGCCTGGACTTCCTAACTAACCCAGGGGCAGTCCAGCGGGTCCCTCACTCAGACCCACCCCACCTCCTTCCCCCAGAGAAGCTCAGTCTCTGCATAATAGAAACCAGAGCCTCCCCAATCCCAAGCACTTACCTCTCGGAGAGAATCGTTCCAGAGCTCCAGGCTGTGGCAGCCAGGCCTCTCACACAGGTGCGGCACGCCAGAGGCTAGAAATTGGGGGCACAGGAGAAAGGTAAAGGGAATGGAGACCCATTGCTGTGCAGTCCTAGCTGGTGCCTGGCACAGCTGCAAGACCGCAGAGTGCCTACCACTCCCACCATTGCCCATTCTCAATCCTGCACCTACCTACACCTGCATTCTCAGATTAGCACCCAGCCCACCCTCACCCCATGCTCTTGTTCTGTGCTCACAGTTTCCAGGTGTCTGGGTGGCCAGAGGCAGCTTCCGGTTAGTCAGCACGAGAGCAGAGGCAAGGAACTCAAAGGATGGAGCCTGGACAAGAGGCAGCCTGTAGGAACAGCAGCCCTGGCAGGTCTGGAAACAGGTGGCAGCCAAAAGGACTTTCCAAGCCCCTCCTATCCCACCCGGGGACCCTGCCCTCTCCCTCTAGGGAGTCCCCCTTACCTGCTACCCATCCAGGTTTGCAGGGTGGTGGACACACCACATGAGAAGAGGCTGGAAGCCAGCAGGTGGGCAGGGGAGTAAGGGAGCATTCCTGGGGGGACACTTCGAAGCAGGAGCAGGTGAGAGGCACAGAGCACAGAAGCCAGAACCAAGAAATGCTGCGAGTGGAGGTATGGGAAGAAGGGGTGGTCTTCAGACAAAGGAGGGAATGCCTGTTTTTAGAGGGTTTCCCATGCCACGTCTACTCCCCCAAACACCCCCGTCAGCCAGCACTGGCTCCTGCACAGCTGCCTCCTACCTGCAGGGCCAGAAGACAGCTGAGGCCCCAGGGAGGAGGCCCACAGAGAGAAGCCCAAGAGTGGGAAGAGGGGTTTTGGACAGCAGGCTGCGGCGGAGGGGGCGCCAAGGCTTCCTGGGGGCTCACAGATCGGAGCTGGATGGGACAGGACTGTGATCGGCTCATTCTGTCCTGTCTTTCATCTTGTGCTCACTGCCCTGGGCCAGAGTTAAGTAGAGTTTGGGTGAAGTTAGCTCCCCAGAGTGGGGAGACAGTGGGGGTGTGGGTGAGGCAAAGTGAAGGAATGAGAGACTCAGGGCAGGACACGGCCCATTCACCTTTGCCCCGCTCTTGTGCAAATTCCATCACCTATTAACCGGGAGCCATGTTCTGGAGCCCTCCCCCAAGAATTCCGTGCAAACCCCCCGTTCCAGGCTCTGTAAAGCAGGATAGGAGGGGTGGGGAGACCGAGATAGTAACCTGGGAAGATTTTAGGTTGTATCCCCCTCCCCCCACCCCACCACTGCAACTTGGAACCATCACTGCAATGTGGTCCTCCGCCCTTTCAGGGTCAAACCCCTGGACTACCTCCAAAGGAAATGCACAGGTAATGGATGACACAGGCCACAGTGACCACAACTTTACATAATGCCCTCGCTGATGTAAAGGCAAAATACAAGGAATTGATAATAAAAGGGGTTTCCTTATGTGAAAGCTCGGGCCCAGCTAAACCAGAAGGCAACAAAGTGATCCAGTTCCCACCCCCAGGTGTAGAATCTTCGTGGCTGTGGCAGCTCCACGGCCGACTGGTGCTTTACGACAGGCAGTGCTGCCATTGGTGACCTGATGCTTCAAAGTAATAAACAAGTTCATGGTCAGGTGCTGAAGCAAAGTTAGTTTTAATTTACATGGATGTGCATTCCTGGAAAATGGAGTCTTTTCCAAAATGAACAAAAAGGACTTTGTGTTTATACGTGAAGTCAGGTAGTTTTAGGCTCACACACAGAGGGTTTCCCTAAGCACGGCGTGCAGCTGGCCACTCCAAAGCCACTTTGGGAATTCTCCCTAATGAAAGGGATCTTGAGCGTTGCAGGGTGTCTAACATTCTGCCCAGGCCAACTAAATAAAAATGCAAGTAGCATTCCTTCAAATATTTGCCTCAAAAATGCCCCCCCCACCCCCGCAGGCAGGCAGGACACCCAGCTATGGATAATCTTAAACAGTCTCAAATACCCTCATTCAGTTCAGTTCATAGAGAGGTTTTCCTTCTTCCAATAACCCAGCCTAGGACTGCTCTTAACAACGACTACCACCACGGACCGGACCGGGCTGGATTCAGGGTTCAGGGGTGTTCTTGGGGCTCGCCCTGAAACTGGCAGGGCTCTGCTGCATACTTGGCTTGGCCCCTCACCCCTCATGTGCTTCGGAATCTGTAAGAGCGGTGCTCACGCAGAACTTTTGATGGGTAGGGCCAACCCCAGGCACGGCGGTCACCACCCACGCCCCACGGCAACCAAGTTGAGTGGTGCTCGTGACCCCAGGGTGCTGGGAACAGGGATGCGGGGAGGTTCTTCTGAAATGGGGCAGAGAGAGAGTTGCAGGATGACGGAGTCAGGAAGCAGGGAGGCTCAGAAGGCAGGGGTGGGGTGGGGGGAGAAGGTTCTCCCAAGGGCTGCCAGAGAAGGAGTCCAGGCCATGCAACTAAAACTGTTTATTGAAACCTCAGTTCTACAAAAGCGTGGAAAAACCCAGATACAAAGCAGTGGCCAGAGAGGCCTGTGAGAACACCCAGGAGAGGAACTGGAAGAACTGGAAGCCCAGGAGCAGAGTACTAAAAGGAAAAGGTGGGAAGACCAGAGGGCAAGGCTGAGGGTCCCGCAGTCCCTGACTCCTTCAGACTACATCCACAGGGCAGGTGTGGGTCGGGTTCCCCGCTCACCGGCCTTCGCTCAGCAGCGCTCCCCTCGGCCCAATCAGTCCCTGGCTCTCTTGCCTCAGAGACATCACACAGAGCCCGGCGAGCATTCCCTCCCTCCCCACCTCCCTCCCCCAACTCTCATCTCCCACCTTACCCTCTCATCCCAGGGAACTAAGAAGCTAGTCTAGAAAGAGTCTGGAGGTAACGAGACAAGGGCTTCTCTGTCCGCCTGCGGCATGCCCCTGGTCACTGGACTGAGGCTTTCTTTCCACGGCACCATCGCTGCTGGCCCAAGCAGCCAGCCGCTGACGTCTAAAAGAGCAGGTGACCTTTAGGCCTTCTGCCCCATCACCCCTTAAGCCCCCTCACCCAGTATAACAGGGGACCCGCCAAGGACCCAGAGAGGTAGAGAGGATCTAAATCAAGCATTCTTCCTCCAGGCTCTCAGGGACTCCCACGTCCTCACCAGGCATTCCTCTGAACCCCACCTAGCCTGGGAAAATGAAAGACTTAAGGCGGGCCAGCTCCATGATGCCAAAAAGGGAACACTCCTGGGGCTGTGGGAGCAAGGAGGGCATGGGGCTCCAGGCCCAGGGCGGAGCCGGGCCGTAGGAGTGGTACCAGGGACTTGGGGGCCCTGTGGGCGCCGTATGGTTGGGATGCTGGCAGGCACGACAGGTTGGCAAGTCTTTCTGGAGCTTCTGGCAAAGGGGACAGTTATGGAGAAGAGTGGGAGGGGCAGGAGGGTCTGGGGGAGGCAATGGCGGGGGGGTCAATGAGGCCAGAAGACTGTCCCAGAGTGAATGCAGCCTTATGTCGCTTCCCGGGCAGCTGGAGACATTGGCAGGAGACGGCAGGCACTGTGGCACAGGAGAAGGTATGCAGGGTTCCAAGAGGCACCTGGAGGCCAGTCCAAGGTCCGGGGGGCCAGGTGGAGGGCTGCAGGACAGTCCCAAGGACTGGTATATTACCGCCACTGATGCCACAGCCAGGGCCACGCTGCTCACATATGCTATCGCTAGTAGGCAGGACAGCTGCAGGAGAGATAAGAAAGGTCAATGCCAAATACCCTTCCCTTAAAACGTGCTTCTGACCGCCTTAAACACACCCATCCCTTATCTCTAGAAGTTCAAGTTAGAGTTCACTGTTACCATCTACTCCCAGACCCTTGTCCTGAGTCTTTCAGCATTTGCTTTACATCATACCACCCATGCACAGTGCGCTCAAGCCTCCCATCCGTCCTGACCCCCGCTTCACCTTTGCCAGCTGATGGCAGAGGGAGCCCAGGGCCAGCTGCCAGGCCGGCTGCTCCAGCAGCACACACAGGTCCGTATAGGTGTACCAGCCCCGTCGTCGTCCCTGATGCTCGGCCACACTGTCGGGAGGGGAGAAAAAGTAGAGCGTCTGTAACTCTCCTGCAGCCGGCCCCAACGCACCCTCCTTCCCCCCGGGCCCCACCAGGGAACACTGGGGAATGAGTTAAAAGGGCAGATCCCTAGGCTGTGGGTGGATCCAGAAACTGAGAGTGAGACCAAGATCTGTATTTCTGATGAGCTTCCCAAAGGTGACGGATGACAAAGAAAGAGGGCGGGCAGGTTTGAGGAGCACTGCCCTGGGCGATTCTCTTTCCTGCCTTCCCCCCCTCCCCCCACCAGTCACACAGACCCTCCTCTCAGTCTAGCTCTTCCATCTCAGGTCTCAGCCCTTAAGCACCTCCTCCCAGCTCCTAGAACCTACCAGCTCTCCAACCAGCTCAGCACCTCAAAGATCTCCCGAGGGTCAGTGTAGAGACGCCAGTCCTGTGGGTGTGAAGACAAGGGCAGCAAACCGGGCTCAGACGTGAGCCACAGTTACTCAGTAACCAGAGCCACAGCAGCACTGCAACCACCACTATGGGTACCACTTAGCTGGCACTAGGTGCCAAGTACTCTTCCAAGAACTTTTACATATTAACTCACTTAATCATCATGGATCTGGATTCACATCACACCCCCCATTGAGAGCATAGGAAGAGAATGATCCTGCAACAGTCCATGCCCATAGGGGGCTTAGAGAGAGCTCAGGGTCTAGGAGTAGAGAAAGTCTGGAAGCAAATAAATAAGCAGAACCCGGTGAGGTAAGCTCTGGCTCAGAGTGCGTGCGCCCTGCTGGGCCTGCAGGAATGGGGAAGTGCGGACGCTCCGTTTCTGGGCTCGCCACATCAGGAACAGCTAAGGGCTGTAGTTAGTCCAGGCTAGAAAGGAAAGATACAGCCCTGACTGGCATAGCTCAGTGGATTGAGCGCGGGCTGCGAACCAGAGCATTGCAGGTTCGATTCCCAGTCAGGGCACATGCCTGGGTTGCAGGCCATGACCCCCAGCAAGCGCACATTGATGTCTGTCTGTCTGTCTGTCTCTCTCTCTCTCTCTCTTCCTCCCTTCCCTCTCTAAAAATAAATAAATAAAATCTTTTAAAAATTAAAAAAAAAAAGAAAGGAAAGATACTAATAAGGAAAGACATGAGGAGGACAGGCAGACACGAGGAGGACAGGCAGAGAGAAATGAAGAAACAGAAAGCTGCGAGGGAAAAGACAAGGGGTGTCAGAAACGAAAAGCTGGGCCAGGGGAACAGAGCAAGAGAGGGAACAGCTACTCACCATGGCACTCAGGAAGCCCCTCTCCAGGGCATTGAGAGCGGGCACGGCCACACCCCCTGCAGCTCCCCATTCATCGTTGAAGACCTCCTCCTCCTCCCCTTCATCATAGAGGTACTTACTAGCCACCATCTGCAGAGGGACCAGAGATGGGGTCAACAGAACCCGCCCTGGGCTCCTAGGTCACCGGGGAAACCAAGGGGAGGGGGCCCCTTACCATAGAGATCAGGAACAAGTCAGAGGAGGACACGTGCTGTAGGTAGTCCGGGTTTCGGTGCCGGAGCCGCTCAATGTACACCAGAGCTAGCATCATAGCGCACGGGGAGATGCACGCCTCCCTGCGCGTCGGAAAGGATCGGTAATTAAACCCGAGGGCCTTTCAGCTCCTGTTAACTCTTCTAATGCTCTATCTTCTCTTTATGGATAGCCCTTCCCTTTTTTCTAGGGTCCAAACACTTTCATCCCATCCCCCTCAATTCCAGGCTCACCGGGACACATGGGCTACATATTTCTTCTGGAGACGGCGAATAGGGCTGGGGGCTGCCTTCTGGAGCAGTTCCACGGCAATGTCTGTGGGGGCAGGAGACAGAGTGAGCAAACAACTCTGCCCCTCCCCACTCGTCCCCACTGCTGCCAGCAGAAGATCCGGATCGATCCCTACTACCTGAGGCCTTGGAGACAGGACCACACCAACAAGACAGAGATCAAATTCTCCCATAATGAGACAAAAAGCCCATCCCAAATCCGAACTTCAGTTCTTTCCAGCAGGAGCCTTATTTTCCATTCACCTGGAGTTACTTAAATTTGCCTTCTGCTCTTGTTCATTTCAGAAATAAACATGCCTTGTTCATTTGGGAAACACACTGGGTGTTCTTGGAAACTTAAATAGTTTCTGGTATACAAATCAGAAGTGATATGGGTTTGTAAGATAGCAACGTTTTTTACTCATTTGGGCTAAAAAAAAAAGTGAAATACAAACCCAGTCCTTACACCACCTTACCAATGAGCTAGCCACGAAGAGACAGGGCAGCTCCTGGGTTACACCTAGAGTCATTTGGGTGCCTGCTGACAACCCCATTTTCATGCCTCTCACTCGCCCGGTCACACAAACTTTGTCTGACCTGCCATGGGGCTGGAGAGCTCTTCCAGGTTACAGTCAGCCTCCCAGTCCCAGCCATAGTAAAGTCTTCTCCGGATCCTGGCACTCAACTTCTGGTGTCCCGGGAGGAACTGAAACAGGGCAGGAGGGTGAAGGGCAGGGAAGATACGATGGAGATCCTGGCCCCCGGCTAGAAGAGGGTGCGGGGCAGCAGGCCTGTCTCACTGCTCGTGGGCTGGGTGCTCCACCCAGCCCCTGTTCTCTGCATTGTTTACCAATGGCAGTCTGTCCACAGGAGAAGGAATCCTCCGCGGAGGGCTCCCCAAGTGAGGTTCTCCTAGAAAGGGCCCCAGCTGGTCACCTCTATCCCCAATCCTGTACCCGTGACTCTCCCCCAGGCCCAAGCAGCCGCGGCCTCAAGTAGGCACAGTTCGAGCGTCTGCCTCCTAGCTCCAGGGCAGACTGTCAGGAGAGCTCCCGGCCCTACTCGAGAGGTGAGCCCAGGGTCCCGGATCCAAGTGTGGGGAGGCCGGGGCAGGGATAGGCAGCGTGCTCACCGAAAAGTCCTGGAAGCCGGTGAGGGAGAAGGTGCCTTCTTCGTCCAGCAGGAGCCCGGCCAGGTCCATCGCGCCACCAGCTGCCGCCCTGCGGAGGTGGATGCGAAGAAAATGAGTTGTAAAGGGGCCGCGGAGCCCTCCCAGCCCGCAGGTCCACCTGCCCTCCGGCCTCCTCAGCACGAGCCACCGCCCTTGCCAGTGCCGCCCCTCCCCTCGCGCCGCCAGCCGCAGCAGGCGGGGCCGGGGCTGGAGGGCGCCTCTTCCTGTTCCGCCTCGGGCGGGGCTCCGACTCCCGGATCTGGGCTTGTGGCGTTGGGTGCGCAGGCAGCGGGTGGTGCTCACCTCACGGAGTACAGAGGAGAGCTGGCTGAAAGACAGCCCGTACAGTGCTAGAGTCGTGCTGTGCAGTGCCGCGCGTCTGCCCCGTGTTTACAAGCCGCTGGGGTGTCGCAGGCGAGTCAGCGATCGGCATTTCCTGCCGCCCACTCGTCCGAGCCGCCAGCTTCCTAAGGCTGGGAAGGAGCTGGGCTCCAAATCCTGGTAACACTGGGTCCCGGCAAGTCAGAGCTGAGCCCCAGCGTTCCCTCTCCATCTGAGAAGTGGGGACAATTCCTAGGGAACCATGCAGCACTGAAGGTGAACGAGCCCCGCTGACTTTTCGTACCAATGTAGATTTCAACCTGAATAATACAAAGACGCAGGACCTCGAATTGCTCCTGATTGTTTTAAAGGGGAGATACACATACAGAGCAATGTACTTAAAAGGCATTGAAAAGGACACACAAGAAACTTAACAGTGGATGAACTGTGGGCAAGGAAGCAGAGAAACTCGCTGTATACCTTTTACTGTAGTTTGTGATTTTAAGCCTAAGTAAATATGCATTGTGTAGGGTTATTGCAGAGGTTAAATGATTCAAGGGACTATAAAACGCCTGGTACATTTTAAACCTCAATAAATGGTGCTAGAATGTCCCCAAAGAGTAAACAGCACTTGAACTGGGTTTTATTTTTAAATTCACCCCGTGACCACAATCTCCTGCTTTGAGCAAGGGATTGGAAAGACCTCGGATACATGGGGCGGGGAAGTTTACAAAAACAGAGACACAACTTTTCTGAGTAGGTGAAGCTGTTTTTGAGTCTGTCGGGTCACGCGCTGGGATTTGTTTATCCGCCTACAGGAGGAAACTGGGACGACCAGTACGCTGAGAGTTGAGTAATGGGACAGGCGCCGCCCAGCCAGAGCAGAAGCAGAAGCAGAACCTACAGAGGATATTGGGAATCCAGAAACCCCCTTCCTGCCCCTTAGCTCCGCAAGGGCAGCATCAGACTCCCTAACGGCCCTGCCTATACAAGGAGAAGAAAAAGGGCTGGGGCAGGGAAACACCGAGACACAGTCCTCGCGTCCGGAAGAGGCAGACACCACCTGGCCCTGGAGCCGCGGTCACGACTCCAGCGTCCAAAGCACACCTGCGTAGAAGCCAGAATCGCCAGTAGCACTTGTGCGCAGGCGTGGACCGCCCCATCCGGGCGGTTAGGAAGCGTCACGTGACCGACCAGTGGCTCGCCATCACGTGTTGCCCACGGTTGCCTCGGCGGAGCTCTCCCTGGCGTGCGCCCCCTTCCGCCTGACGCGCCCCCAGCGGCGGCCGCGCAGCCCTGGCTCCTCGCGGGCTCGGGCGGCGGCTGCAGCGGGGCTATGGCGAGCGGCGGTGGTGGGGGTAACACCGGCGCGGGTGGGGGCCCGGGGCTGGGCCTAAGCGTCGGCTTGGGTCTGAGCCTAGGCATGGGTGAGGCCACCAGCGAGGCGGAGGAGGAGGCGGCCACGGCCGAGGCGGTGGGACGCCTGGCGAAGACGCTGTGGCTGCGGCTCCGCGGCTGGGAGGCGGTGCTGGCAGCCGCTCAGCGGCTGCTGGTGTGGGAGAAGCCGCTGCACAGCCTGATCACTGCGGCCGCGCTCAACGGCCTCTTCTGGTAACGGCCCTCGGAGCAAGGGGGCGGGGCCGGGCTGCGGGGGGGCGGGGGGGGGGCGGGGGGAGAGCAGAGGCGGGAGGGGTCAGGGTACCCTTCCCCTTTCCCGGGTTGACACCGGCCCTGGGGGATGATCCATCCCCCGGTCTTTAAAGGCTGTTGTGCGCCCGAGTTACCCCACTACTCTGCCTCCGGGTCTCGAGTTAGGCCCATTCCCGCATCAGTGGGCTCTTTTCTGCCTTTTGCGATGGCTGCGGGAGCCACTGTTCACCCATTCACTGCTGAGGTGCTTCTCTCTCCCGAAGGTTGCTGTCTTCGTCATCCCTCCGGCCCATCTTCCTGCTCAGCATCTCACTTTTGGCCTATTTTCTGCTGGATCTCTGGCAGCCTCGCTTTCTCCCTGACATCGCAGGTGAGCGTTAACTTCTTTCACTTAGCCGTCTCCATTGTGCACTTGCTTTGTGGCTGGCTCCGATCGATCGGTTGAATGGGGAGGGCAGTGGCCACCTGCCTGTCAATCACCACCACTCCCCCAGGTAGGAAATCGAGAATTGCTCCTTTCTCAACATTGGCGTTACTGTGAAGGTAGTAGCTAAGAATGTGGGCTTTGCAACCAGATTGCCTGGGTTCCATTGTCTGCTCAGCCATTCACCGTGTGTGTGTCTTGTAAAAGCCACTCAGTCTGTTTGCGTCAGTTCCCTCATCTGTAAAACAGGGATGACAGAATTGACTTCATCAGGAGGCCGAGATTAAGTGAGTTCATATATGTTGTATGCTTATGGTAGAGCTTCACATGTGGTAGGATTTATGTAAATGTTAGCTCTTATCATTTTGTTGTTGTTTGCGTATTTAGTTCATAGGCGTTTTGGAACAACTAGGTGCCAGGCTGTGTGCGAGTTGCTTGGGATGTAAGCATGAATAAGATGTAGTTCCTGTGTTTGAAAAGGGTAAAGTCTAAAAAAGGAGACACATACAAACAACACAACATAATGCTCCCTGCAGCTGGCATCTGAAGAAAGTCCTTTGGGACTGCAGAAGAGGAACGACTGTGTCTGCCTTGGGGAGTGTCTCCCAAAGCCCCTACCACTCAGTAACTTCTCCCCCTCCTCTCTCCATAGCATCATCCCCAGAGGAGCCACACTCTGACAGGTGAGTGCAGGCCACCTCTTGAAGACAAATGCCCAAATCCTGTCTTGCTTTGGCGCCCGCGTCACCATGGTGCAGGGCAGCAGTGCAGCTTCTGTAAGCACAGGCCCCAGCATAGTGAGGGGACTGATACATAGTTTGGTTCTAGGTTCCCACGTAGGTGTTTGTGTGCCTGCTCCTTTTGGGGCACAGGGTTGGGTTGTGCTTTCGGGACCAGGACAGCCTCCTTTTGGGAGGTAGGGTTATCCGTTTTCTTAGACCGAAGAGCTCACTGGCATTCTCAGAGGGATTTGAGTGCTTAGGAAAGCTGGTGTCTGAGGCTTCCAGGGGTCATGTCATGTCTCTCCAGTGAGGGTGCGGGGTCAGGCGCCCGGCCGCACCTGCTGAGTGTGCCCGAGTTGTGCAGATACCTGGCTGAGAGCTGGCTCACCTTCCAGATTCACCTGCAGGAGCTGCTGCAGTACAAGAGGCAGAATCCAGCTCAGGTAACCTCCCCCATGCCACAGAACAGTTCCCTGCACTGTGGGGAAAAAGAGGTGGGGGTGGGGAGGAGCGTTAGCACACTGCAAGGGAGACCTGGCGCCTACTTGAGGCACCATTCACAGCCTGGTACGGGAGGCAGTCTCGCCTCAGGGAATGAGCTGATGTTCTGACACCGTTTCCTGCTAAGGCAGAACAGTTTGAATTATAGGTGTTTGGGGGTCTGTTGCAAACTCCTGCACTGGTGGTCTTGGGCATCCTCTTGACTAGACCGATCACTGCAGTCCTAGAGGGCGTACCCCTGCCTTCACCAGCCGAGCAGTAATGTCTAACTCGAACGAGCGGGCGCATACCTCAGCCCAAGTGCTTAGACCCTGTGCTCTTCCCTGCAGTTCTGTGCTCGAGTCTGCTCCGGCTGTGCTGTGTTGGCTGTGCTGGGACACTATGTCCCGGGGATTATGATTTCCTACATTGTCTGTGAGTAGGGGCTAACCCTGCCCTTTCCAAAGCCCTCTTCTTGTCTTCTTTCCCTGGACTGATCTAAAGGGAGGACTGCTCTCTCTCTGCTCAGTCCCCCATTTTTAGAGGTCCCCAAGGGAGGAGGGCAGAGGATATGGAGAGAAGAGGTTGGTACAATCTCGGGAAAAGACCCCTTTTGGTTTCTTCAGCCCTTTCTGTTTAGGGACCAGTTGAATAAGGGCCCTGAGAAAATAAGCATGGGGAGCTCTGAGCGGATGTTCTCTTCCCTAGTGCTAAGCATCCTGCTGTGGCCCCTTGTGGTTTATCATGAGCTGATCCAGAGGATGTATACTCGCCTCGAGCCCCTGCTCATGCAGCTGGACTATAGCATGAAGGCAGAAGCTGACACCCTGCATCACAAACACGACAAGAGGAGTAAGGGGCTCCTGTAACCCGGGGGGGACACCCTGGAATTTAGATGCTCCCCAGTCCCTTGGCCATGGTTGTCCCCCACTGCTGTCCCTGCCTGGGGAGTACCCTGCTCCTCTTGCTTCTGTAGAGCGGCAAGGGAAGAACGCACCCTCCGGAAGTGATGAGCCACTGGCAGAGACAGAGAGTGAAAGCGAGGCAGAACTGGCCGGCTTCTCCCCGGTGGTGAGGGTCAAGGGAGCTGGGGTGTCAGGTAGAAGGTGGGGAAGAATCTGCGTTAGAGCAGACACCTTTCAAGGGGGTGGGGGTTGGTGAGGGGGTACCCTTGGGTAGTCGGTTCTCATATTCCCCCACCTTCCGTGTTCATCCTGGTTCTTCTGCAGGTGGACGTGAAGAAAACAGCACTGGCTTTGGCCATCACTGACTCGGAGCTGTCAGATGAGGAGGCGTCTATCTTGGAAAGTGGCGGCTTCTCGGTATCCCGGGCCACAACCCCACAACTCACTGATGTCTCCGAGGGTACGGGAAGCCCCTTGCCCTTCCTCCTCTTCCTGGTCCCTGTTGTGAGATATTGGCTGCCACTCTCTGATTGTTGCCCCATAAATGTTTTCTTGATCCTCTAATTCTACTCAAATTCTACTCGAAGTTCTGAAAGCCCCTAACACCAAAGGCCTGGCCTGGCATTTTATGTCCTGAGTTCATCCCTAAACATATTAGCCTATGGTGGCCATCAGAACAGCAGGCCCATTCCC